GCAGTGCGGTTGGCGCAAGATAGAGCAGGGTTTAGGGCTGTTGTGCATAGGGTCGCTATGAGTCGAAAACGACTCGACGGCACATAACAACAACTATGTGTCAAAGAGAACTCTGGTGGTTTAGTGATAAGGATCTGTGCTGCCAAGCCAAAGGTATGCGATTCAAATCCACCAGCTGCTCTGAGGGAGAAAGATGGGCAGTCTTCTTCCACGTGGTTTACTGTCTCTGAAAACCCACTGAAGGGTCAGCTATGGATTGGTTCTGATTCGATGGTACACAACAACAAGGTGCCGGCTGTTGTGCTAAAAGCTGGGACCATAAACAAAAAGGACTGCTCTCTAAGTGCTAACTCTTCAGTAGGAAAAGATGATTCTCAGCAAGTCAATGCAGTAACGTGTGTGGCTCTTTAATGAAGATTTATCAAGGTTGTGACAACAGGGAGAAAAGACCTTGTATTCTTATTACCATTGAGTCTCTGGGCAGATGTGAGAGGGACAGGCTTCACCAGCAGAAGGCCTGGCCTGAACAAAGTTGGGGATGGGAGATGCAGGAGGTAGCCTGATCATGGGGGGCTGAGGGAGGAGTGATTGCAGTCAAGACAGTATAAACGGACCGATGTTTAATCCTCTACTAATTGTACAGTAGAGTGAGAAAGCAGAAAGAACTAGAGGTTGGGATCCTCAGGGAAGGCATCCTTGTCAAAATCTGAGCTGCACTTGGGAGTCCCCCAGATGAGATCCTTACCATTGTCTCTTTTCAATCACCCCTTACAGAGCCATCACTGTTCGTGCAAATACAAATGCTATGTACGCTTCTCTGACACTGAATGAATCCGGTAAGTTCTCCTCATTCTTAAAGAGTTGCATATCTGGAGGTAACTCCATCAGCATGGAAAATTACCCTGCAGGTGATAAGGGTGGAAAATGGATCTTCTAATCATGTATTGAGGCCCCTTGATGTCATAGTTTGTACCCATCTACTAACTGACAGGTTGTCATTTGAACTCAACCAGTGGTACCCTGGAAGAAAGGCTTGGTGAACTGGTTTCACAAAGACAAGACAAGAAAACCCCACGGAGCAGTTCTACCTTGTAACACAGGACTTTGCCATGAGCAAGACTCATGCCAACATTTTATTGTGGTTTAGGTGAAAGTCCACAGAGTAAATAAGTTTCCCCTTCAACAATGCATACTTTTTTTTCTTTTTTTTAGACTTGAGCAGCAACCCCTTCAATGCAATGGCATACCTTTCCACTTCTTCCCTGAGTCCCTCAATCCCACTCACCTTTCTTTCTTGCTAATTTCTGCCTTCAGAACTTCGCTTTGGAGCAAATGCTAGTCTTTCAGTCTCGTTCATTTCATTACTCTGAGAACTGTGTTCCTCAAGAATGCTGCTGTCCACTGTATAGGCCTGTGTAGTGATTCAGTTTCATGTTCAAGAAAGATGTGCATCAGGGCTGCATCCTTTCTCCCTATCTTTCAATCTGTATGCTGAGCAAATAGTTTGAGAAGCTAGACTCTGTGAAAAAGAATGTGGCATTATGATTGGAAGAAGACTCTTCAACAACATGTGTTAAGTAAATGACACAATCTTGCTTGCTCAAAGTGAGGAGTACCTGAGATGCTTGCTGCAGAAGGTCAAGGTGTATGCAGCCTTCATTATAGATTACATCTCAACATCAGGAAAACAAAATCTCACCACTGGGCCAATAGGCAATATCTTGTTGGATGGAGAAAAGGTTGAAACTGTCAACAATTTCATCATACTTGGATCTACAATCAAAAACCTTGGTGCCAGCAGTCAGGAGATCAGGAGATGTATAGCTTTGGGTAACTCAGCTCTTAGGGACATCTCTAAAGTCCTGAATAGCAATCATGTCAGTTTAAATAGCAAGGTGTGCCTGATTCAGGCCATGGTTTTTCCAATAACCTGTTATGCATCAAAGAGCTGGCCAATGGAGAAAGTTGATGGAAGAATAAGCAAAGCCTTTGAGGCATGGTGTTGAAGAGTACTGAATATTCCACGGACTGCCAACAGGTATGTCTTGGAGAAAGTGCAACCAGAGTGATCCTTTGATGCAAGGATGGCAAAGTTCCATCATACACATTATGGGTATGTTTCTAGGATAGGTTATTCCTTTGAGAGAGACATCGTGCTCAGAAAGGTGAAGGGTTAGCAAAACAAAGGAAGCCTGTCAGCATGATGGGTTGATACGATGACTGCAGCAAAGGCTTCAAGTGTGTCAGAGATAAGGATGGCGCAGGTTGAAACAGAGTTCAGATCTGTTGTTTACAGTGCAGCTAGGAGTCTTACATGATTCAGCAGCACCTAATGACAACACAACAAGGGCCACTGCCTAAGGATTTCACCAGTCTATCTATCAGAGAAATAAGTGGTTTTGTTCTATATCTTCTTTGCACTCCACGCAGGACCTTCTATTAAGATCCCAGTGAGTAGAGTCAGTAACAATAGCCGAGCGCCACCCACTTCTAGTCTCAGCCTAACAGAGGCTGTGCTCTGCATGGTTCATTAGTCCTTTGGACTGAATTGTTTCCTTGAGTTAAAGAGAATTTTTTCAGTGGCTTTTTAGAATACAAGGCCCTACTAAGAGCAAGAAACATTAGTCATTCTCCTGGTCCAGATAACAAGTCTTCAGGAGCCCCAAACACTGATGTACATCTAATGTGAGATCCATTTTCCAATCAACCATGCATTGCAAAATGTATTCAAACAAGATATCTATTTTCAACAACAAATTTTTAAGTAATTATGCCTAATGGCACTGTTACAGGAGAATCGTAACTGTTCCTGTGGCGGTTTCTCCTCTGTGAAAAGACTTGGATGGTATTTTTTTTTCCTCAAGGACATTGTTTTAATGAACACTCATGTAAATGCTTAGAAAGCTGTTTGTGTCTAATGAAGACCCACTAGCTCCTTGCAAGTTGATGAGACGTCAGATCCGACTCATGGTGATCCCATATGTGTCAGAGTAGAACTGTGCTCTAGAAGGGTTTCCACAGCTGAGTGCTCAGATGTAAGTCACCAGGCCTTTCTTTCAAGGTACCTCTCAGACACAAAAACCACCAGCCTTTCAGTTAGCAGCCCTGAGAGTTAATTTTTTTGCATTACTTCTATTCTCTCCTTACTTCTAAGTCCTATGCTGATAAAAACCAATTTATAAAAAAAGTAATCGGACTTTCTGGCTCAGCAGTTTGTGTCCTGGGGAAAAGCCAAATAAACTCAGACTGTGCCACAGAACTGAAAGGCACACTGCAAGCTGGCAGAAAAATTCAGCAGCCCATTTAGCTCGTGGGCCTTGGCCTTCTCTCCTGCCTCTTACTCATATCTGGTGTCATATAGACAATTAGGACTCAGTGATCCTATAAGATCTACCCTAAGGTTTCCCAGAATGCAATCTTTATGAAACTAGACTGGCCCACCTTTCACCTGTGGCGCTGTGGTGCATTTGACTAACCGGTTGGCAGTCAGGCCCTTAACCACTATGCCACCAGGCTCCCATTGTCTCTTCCTGATGTTGTTATGTACCGTAGAGCTGAGACTGACCCCTAGCTGACCTTTAGTGGGTTTTCAGAGGCTGTAAATCACATGGAAGGAGACTGCCCATCTTCCTCCCATGGAGTAGCTGGTGGATTCGAACCATGTGCCCTTTGGGTTGGCAATGCAAATCCTTACCACTAGGTCACCAGAGTTCCCTCTCTTCTTACAATAGTCTTCCCCATATTAGCTCACAACTTCCCTAGGTAGTACAAATGATTACCTGCTATTCACTATCTGAAAGCTTGGCTAGTAAGCTATTCTTGAGATCCTTCTCCAGTAGGAGCTGGCCATCTGCTTCTGAAAGTTCACAGCCTACAAGACGCTCTGGAATAGCTCTACTCTGCAGATATGGGGTCACCGTGAGTCAGAATCAAAGTCAACAGCAACTAACAACAACCACATGTCAACTCCAGGATTTCCAGGCTTAGGTATCCTCCCACGGCTACAGGGTTGGTCTTCTCTACTAGCCAAGCAAGCTGGGCTCAGAGAACCAATACCTGGACAGATCTCCCCATGTGAAAAAGACCGTAGAGCCTAGAAGTGGGTTTCTGAAGCTTGAACACAACAGAAAGAGATTTTGAGTTTGGATGAGCATCTCTCTCCTCCCTATGAAGTGGAGATGGCAGTTCAACTATTCATACACAAGTTCAAGCTGAAGCTGAGGAAAATGAAACCAAGTCCACGGAACCAAAATATGCCTTTGAGTCTATCCACCCAGAATTTCAGAATCATCTCAGGAACAGGTTTGAGGCCTTGAACACTAATGAGTGAAGACCAGATGAGTTGTGGGAGGATATCAAGGGTAACATCCAGGAAGAGTGCAAACAGTCATTGAAAAGACAGAAGAGAAAGAGAAGACCAAAGTGGATGTCAAAAGAGACTCTGAAAATTGCACTGGAGTGCAGAGAACCCAAAGCATAAGGAAGAACTCAAGATACCAAAGAGTTGAATAGAAGATTTCAAAAGGCAGCGCAGGATGACAAAGTAAAATATTACAATGAAATGTACAAGGAGTTGGAGTCAGAAAATCAAAAGGGCCGAACTC